CAGAACACTCTGAGCTAATACCCCTCTGAATTTGGAGAAATTTAGAGCTTACTGGTTTGTTTTTTTAATAAAAAAAAGTGTAAAGTCAGATGCCAAAATAATTCACATCAAAAATATATTTTTAAGGAGCAAAAGGCCTCAAGAACAAATACTTCATCACACTGAAACTGTTCTCAGTATACATTAGCAAAAGGAACACACTTAGACAAAACCCTAAATGAAACATGCCTGGAGAGAAGATGAAGCCAGATAAAACGAGGGAATAACTAAGCCAGACCAGAGAGATTGAGAAAGGATAAAAGTGGAATGTGACCCCGCATTTTCAAGCAGTGATAAGAAAAAAGCTTAATCTTACTATTGTACTAATTCTGTACAGCTCTTTTTTTTTTTCAAATTAAATTACACTACCTTCAAGATCAAACGCTATTTTGGCAGGTGTCTGGCTTAATAGTGGTGAGTAAATTTCAAATTTCTATGGCACTAATGCATAAATTCAAGTGTAGACTGGAACCAAGTGTCTGAGAGCAACTTCTGAGAGCAACACCACATTTCCATTTGGTCATCTATTCCATGAAACAACCAGCAAGTCCAAGCTGATGCTGCTGTTTTCCATAACTAACACTCACACAAAAATGAACTTTAAAATAATTGACAACAGTTTTATATATATACAGTGTGTAATAAGAAAACCTCCACATTAAAATTGTATAATCATTCTTTTCTTCTCACTTTAAGCAACATGATTGAGGAACTACAGTGCAGAAAAAAAAAAAGCTGAATTTTTTTTTTTTAGCTCTGTCAACAATGTTTACACTAAAGACAAGCATATATTATAGGCAAAGAAATATTGTTCCAGTACAAACCCATACGTATTTGGCCACTAAACCATTCACAAAGTTTGTGGAGTCATTATCCCACAGAAATTAAAAGATATAGACAATAAAAACAAAAGCAAGACTTAAAAGAAAAAAAACCATGAAACAGTTAAGTTGCTAAATCCCAGAACAACTCAGGAAAAACCTAGCTAAATTCAACACTCAGCTCCACAGACAGTAACCAGCAGTAATTTCACCTCCTGAATTTATTTGTGTGTACAACTGCAGGATTTTGTCTAGTTTGTGCAGTAATATGCCTTGTAATAGAAGTCTTGCATGGAAAAATAAAAAAAAAACAAAAACACATAACCCAAAAATTAACACATTAAGATATAACCTCCAAACAAAAAAGTACAAACCTGGCTGTTTGAGAAAAATTAGTAAACTGGATGCAAATTATTCACACAAGTAAGGATATGCACAATCAGGCCCATACTAATTGAGCACAATAAACATATCGACACTCATTAAAGATCTATCTGCCAGAATTTATCTTGGCTTTCTCTTCAGTTCTTATGGGTTATTCAATCACTTCCCATCACCCAGGAAAGGAAATATTGCACTATGAAGACAAGAGCTATAATTGGATATTTCTGTATTTCATTTCATGTGTATGACTGAACGAGAATGGATGGGGAAAATATGAACAGAGATAATAATAGTAAGTTGAAACATTTAGTGAGAAATCCATTGGGCACAGAATAACATCTCAACTCTTCCTCAGTACATAATGGTGTGTTTACTGCAAAATCAGTTACTACAAGAGATTTTTAATGAAAACAATTATAAATTTAAAATAACTGTGTTTAAAGCATTTAACAGTCCCTAAGGTCAAGTGATTACAGCAGTTACAAGACCCAAGGGACATGTTCCCACCAAAACAAAGTGAATAAATTACTTCAGCCAGTGTATGTAATCAGTAAGTGACCACAGAGGTTATTCAATGTATAAGCCCAGATGACTCCCATGCAAAACCAATAATGAAAATGTAACAGCCGAAGGGAAAAAGCACACAAACTAGCAAAAGTTGCAGGAAGGGCTGAGAACTAGGAAGAGTGGGAAAGAGAGCGTGGAAAGCACGTTCTGTGATTAGGCTGTGGAGACAAGGAAGAATGATGAGCGTTAATGGAATGGACAAATGAGATGCTGAACACTTTTCCCAGGTGAGAGACACAAATTGTTGCAAAGGGATGCAAGTCTCACAAAATACAAAACTGCAGGGCTGACAGAAGTGCTCTCAGCCCTGTATAGCTCTGGCATGTGTAATGCTCAGCGAAGTACAAGCAAAGCAGGAGTTCAGAATTAATCATCTCAACTTTTCCCTTGGCCTTACTGCCAAAAAAACCATGGGCTTTGTCTTTGTGTCTTAGTTATTCCATTATACAGTCCTAGTGGAGATGAGCCCCTGTTTTTTAACCACAGAGTAGGTAAAATAAGCTGTAGAATGAATCCCAGCTTTGATCTCATCTCATTCTCCCTCATGGCACAAATGATACAGGTGCATTGTCTTCATCACAGCTTCACAACACAATTGCCAGTGGAGAAAACCACACCCATGAAAGACAGGAAAACACTTTTCTATAAGGACAACATCATATTTGATGGCAGTTCTCAGTATGTTGCTTTGGAATGAGCTTTCTACCAAGTATGATGAAAAAACATGCCTCCCACCATAGAGCAGAAGAAAAAGGAATCCCACTTGTTCCTGTACACTGGTATGTATTTTTTCAACTACTGCATGTCATCACCTCACAACACTGAAGGTATTAAATCCTCACAATGCACACAGTAAATAGTAAAATAGAAAATGGTAAAACACAATTACCCATTTTGTAGGTAGGAGCCTGAAATAAAGTGGTAAAAGTATGTGCCTGACTTCAGTGTTTTGATTCCAGGTGAGGAAGGGACAGCACTGAAGCAAGTATTGACCAACGTGACAAGATTTCACAGGGGAATCAATTTGCTGTCTCACTTTATGCCAGAAAACTGGTATTGTCATATAGAGGAAAATGCAAGTGGGCTCTGTGCATGTAAAACAAAAGGTTTTCTCTGCACCTGAAATATGAAAGCCTGAGCCCAAAGCCAGTGGGTCCTCCCACAGTCAAAGCTTCCAGTTTCAATCAATCTGACTGCCAAAGCATGCAAAATCTGCTTCCTCAGGTAAACCCTATACTGACTTCTACAACAGCTACACATATATGCTAAGAAAATCCCATGGTAAATTATTGAGGCTGGAACACAACCCATCCAATAATTCTTCTGCTGCAAATGTTAAGCCAAGGACCTATGTGATAAAATAACGTCACCTTGAAACACCTGTCAAACACAAGGAATTCCAAGTGGCTGCCCATACTGTAAGATTCCCCACCAAAGGGTGAAACCCCCCCAGCAGATTATTTGATTTGGCTTTCTGCAGCACTAAGTCAGTGCTTTCAAATGCCAAGCACTGGGCACAGGCTGTGGCTGTGTCAAAATAACATTTGTGCAGTTACTCGGAGTCCAAAGAGGAATTCTGGTGGCCTGACACTGCTGTCAGCAGTGCACTCAGGGCAGACTTTGGAGTCTCCAGAAGGCAATTCCTCTTCTGGAGCTGCTTGGTATGCATAATAACAGAACCTTGTTGAACAGCAGTGCTGCCCAGCCTCTCTAGAGGACTGGAGCTGGGCAGGATCCCACTCCCAGGGAAGCTGTGCAGCCTTCCACTGCCATTCCCTTGCTTACTCCTTACCTGCTTGCTCCTCCTCCTTCACAACACTAACACTTAGACATTATCACAAAGAACACTCAAAAGCTGAGGAAGATGATTCCTACTGTCTCTTCCCTCATCCTGTGATATATCTACCTGCTTCTCCTACTGCTTCTGACTTCCCATTCCCAGAAAAAGGATAGTTTTGAGCCTATCAAATCTAGTACTGCTTTCTAGAAGTAAGAACAATAAAACTAAGTTGCAGTGATATGGCAGTATTAGGAGGCCCCAGCCCCACATGCACAGCAACAAAAGGAAGGAAAAACACTCTTTTAAAACTGGGCTGTGGAAATCAGAGGAGGTCAGGTAAAAAGAACAGTGTGGAGGAAATGCAAAGGAGGATGAAAAGACAGACAAGCGGGGACGTTCTTCTATTTCCTTTTGTAAATCCAAAAGTTCTTTACATATCTCTTGAAGGGTCAGCCAAGGAACTCTAATGCAATGAAATGATGCTATTAAAGGCCTGTGGAGATGCAACCATCACACAGCAGGCAAGGGAGTGCAGTGACGGAGGTAAAGCCTGGTCACAAAGCTACGCTTTGAAAGATTTTTATATAATGCTGTAAATTCATTCTAATGTTTCTTGAAGATCAGCTGCTTGAGTCACCTTCAACTCTCGAGTGCTTCTAGTGCAAGAGGTGGCATGGCAGTACACAGCCAGCTACCAGTGGCATTTATAACAGGAGCATCCGGCACAATTTCCCCTCCCTCATTTTGGTTTTCTGCTGTTGCAATTTAATTGCCCTCAACTCCAGCAGTATCGAGGCACTGCTGTCCAATACAGCAGAGTATGAAAGGTATTCTGTCAAAGGGAGGCTGACTGCCTGTGGTCCAACTTAAAATGCCAGTATTCTAACTCAAAGGGGCAAGCACCTGAATACCACTCCAAAAAAACTCTCCTCTTCCAAACAGTATTATTGATTCTGTCATACTATATCCTGGGAAGAAGGACTTTCATCGTTTCCAATTATGTTGTAGCTTCCAGCGCTGCTTTAAGTTATGGTAAACCCAAAAATACAGTGAGCAACAGTTTTGGCTGTGGTTCTAAAACCCCCCAGCATCAACTAATGGGACACTGTATGCATTCATATGAGGTGCCACCACCTCCTCGGCACGCTCGTACGGCTACACAGTTCTTGTCGTGGAATGACAGAATCTTTTCCCCCCAAAATAATGCAAAAATACAGCAAAGCATCTAAATTTGTCTTAATTAACGGAATTAGACCAAGGCTAGAAACAGCACATCACATGAGGACAAGTGAAGTAAGGGGATGGTGGGGGGGGGAGATTTTCAAGTGCTCTAATTCAATTAGGAGGCAGTGACTGACACTTGGACAGGAGAGGTTAATTGGGGTCACCAAAACGCAGTAATTCCTTACCTAACCAGTCATTAAACTTCTTAACCTCTGAGGGCAGTCCCAGTTCGGTGAAATCGCCCGTGTGGAGAAGGATGTCCCCATAAGGCATCTGGATGCCATCTGTTCTGGAGTGCGTGTCTGAGACGCAGACAAATCGCGTGTGGCCCGCTGGTTTTGGAGTGTCATATGGGATAGGGTCGACCCTAAAGCAGACACATAAAGATCTCGTAACAGTTACAAGGTTAAAACCCCTCACATCTATTATTTCAGGTATCAGCACGGATCTCTCTCTGCAAAAGTGAGAACACACACACACACACACATACAGACACACACACACATTTACACACGCCGTGCTGCAAGAAAGGACTCTGCAACACAGCACTACCAAAGGTCCAGCAGGGACCACAGTGCTTCTTAAATACTTACCTGGGAAGGAAGGAAGGAATATTAAAATACACACAAGGTATGGTCAGTTTCTGACACTAAAGTTAGTTTAACATTGGAAAAAAATGGATTTAAAGAGACTTTGAATTCAGATATATGTTTTCCATCATCTGCCTTATGCCATTAAATAACAGGTCTCACAGGTGGGCCAAGAACAGGCTCTCACTCGAGCTGGGCAGCTTAGCAGCTGATTTTGTTCAAGGGCATAGGCACTCCCACAGATTCCAGCACGAATATTTGTTTACACACAATCAGGTACATCCAGGAGTGCTTTGATGAAGCCTGGAAACTGCAGAACTGAGTCTAATGATAACTTCTTAAACTCACAGAAAATCCTGAGCTCATCTGCCCAGAGTCTATAAAGTCAGGAACCAACATGCTAGAGCACTAAGCAACCACAGAAAAAAACATTTTTTTTCTATAGCCAACGATGTTAAAAATTTAATTCAGCTGGTTGTTTGCAAGCTACATTTGGTAATTTGATCTTATCAACTACGTGTGAGCATAGAAGTTTTGTCTTTTTTTATTTTATTGAGGCAGAACAGAAAAAAATAATAGGCACGAGAAATGCTTTATGCATACTTGGTGGTTAGAAGTTCTAATTTGTAGCAGAATAACTTAAATACAGAAGGCAACCCACTGCCTACTTCAGACTAGCAATTATTTCTCTGCAGAGTTACCGTAATTTGATTTGCTCAACACTTGAATAGCACAACATCTGGATTAGTGCCACAGAAAACGCCATCCCAATTCCACAAAGCTTCAACTCATTCCAATTGATGTGCCACTTTGATCATGGTTAGAGCCTAGCTTCAACTAGAAATTTTGAGGTATTTAGGAGTTATGTCAGAATAATAGTCCACCTACATCTCAAGCTATCAGAGCAGTGAAACCAAGCTCTAAGTGCTTTAAAGCATCCAAACAGTGCTGTTCTAAGACTTACTGGGACAACAGACATTAAAAAATCAGTGACTGAAAGTAAACAGAAAATTAAACAGGTTTTATTAGTTTTGCTCTCCACACTGAAAAGAAAAACAATTATCACACGTCACTGTGAATCTCTTTGTCTTAAATCCCCACAGTTGTATTGAGATGTATGATCAGCAGTAGAAAATAAAGCAAAAACCCTAAGAAAAACACAGGCTTTTGAAGTATTATTCTAGTTTACTGAACTGTAAACTAAATTAGTATTTAGTATTTACTACACACTGAACTGTGTGAAAACTTCTACCTGTGTTTGCAACTTCAGCTCCCTACATAGGTGAGAAAAAACAGAAGTATATTCCAGTGTGCAATTCAGTTCCCTGCACTGGGGAGATTTAGAGTGGTTCCAGAAATCAAACTCCACGTGGGTATGTCCTGGTCTCCAATGGAAAAACACCCCCAGGAATGCACTTACTAGCAAGATTTTATCAAGTCAGACTCTAACTTGATTTTGTTAGAATTTATTCTAAAAAATTATATTTGTCAGAATATTAACAGCTAAAGTATTAGTGGGGGAAGGGCTATAGGGGAGATAGTTGTTACATTGCATTTTCCTAGGTACCATAGTTAGTATTTGTAAATAATTATATATTAATTATTCAGTAAATAATTAATTTCTAATCAATCTGTATTTACCATAAAAATACCACGTCTGCTTGCTGTGGGCCACTGAATTAATTGCCAGAACTCAGGTTCTGATGAAGTTTGCTTTAAAAAGAGATTCTGCTGCTGGCTGGACTGGATGGGAAGAGGTATTTCGGTAGACAAGTGGCTTTTTTGGGCTTGGTATTGTACCTTCTATTCCACCCAAGGCACCAGGTACAATTATCTGAGCCTTGCAGCTGGTTACCACTGCAGAAACAATCAATGGATTTTTTTCTTCTCTGCAAGGGTCTGAAATTAATAAGGTTATTATTACAGAGAAAAATTCATTTACCCAATGAAATTGCCCTGCCAAGGTGGGCAGAACTGTAATTATAGGCCACAGTGCTTTTGTATTTGGTGCCTTCCTTCCAAATACTGAAGTTAAGCCCCAACTTTTTCAATCTTATGTCACACAGTAAACACGAAGGTCCCCAAATCAACATTTCCCCACTTCCAAGTGTGTTTATTCCGGGCAACACAAAAAATAAACACTTGCTTTCATCACCACCACACACATACCTTGTTCAGAGAAATCTCTGCTTGAGCTGTGGCCAGCACTGCCTGCCCCTGGGGAGTCCAATTTTGTTTGTACACAGCAGCTATGCTTTTGCTATCCTCTGCAGTTTGCTTCCAAGCCAGCCCTGTTTTGCTTGAGGCAATCCCTATTAGAGTATGACACCAAAATCTGGTTTCGGATTTTTCTATTCATGCAATGACTCACTTACAGAAAATTCTATAATCAAAATTCATTAAGTTCCTGACCCTTCTTTCTCTCCTTTACAAACACTATGATGTTGCCAAGTAACCTTTTTTCCTACATCTTAGCTAGCTTTCTTCGCTTATTCGGTAGCGCTTGCCTACTAAGTATTTGAGAGTGAGATACTGAAGGTTATTGTGTTCAGTCCCATCAATTTATCCTACTCAAAACAGTCCTTCAAAAGAAACTTAATAAAAGTGGTGTTATTGCCAGTCCTAAAGGCTTAAGTTTTCATTCACAGCTACAGCATGGCAAACAGTAATACCAGAGTCTTCTTTTCTGCTGCATCACGAGGGGGTTGGCCTCTGAAGGCAAAGCACTGCCTGTTCAGCTTTTGGTGACACCCTGCTCACTACCTGGGCTGTGAACATCTGATCACCTCACAAACCAGCAGCTGGGGATTACAGACCGGCATTTCTAAAAGCTCTGACATAGTTGTGCACCTGACCCCCACCGCAGTTCAACAGCAGATAAAACAATTATTTCATCCCTGTCCACCACCACTCTGCTCAATCAGAGCACATACCTAAGAAACTCAACTTCATTCTTTACCTTTGCTCCAAACACAGTCTGTACAGCTCACTTTGACACTCTCCATCACCACCAACACTTTATTTTTTCAGTCTTCTTGGTGTGACAGACTGAAACGCTTTACAGATTGTTTGATGACTGTATTTGGAAAAGCATGCTCATGGAGACATGTTCATACATTAGGATTGATACAGTAATCAGAAAACAGAAAACAACCTAAAATAGCCAACTATCAGAATGAATGAGGATTTTTTTTTTGTTTTAGTCTAAGTTAGTAAATTACGTTGAGCATCCAGATATTTATCAGTCCTAAGATATGTTACACCTTAGAAAATCGGGCACTTGGCTGTTTTTAAAAAAGTTTATGTAAGACCCAGAAAGAAATCCCATAAGGCAGTTGAGCAATGACTGCTTTCCAAGATCGTGACAGTAATGTAAGATCTGTCACATTTAATGCATTTATGACAAGGGTTCAGGAATCAGAAGGGACAACGTAACCTTCATACACTTCTGTAAGAACCTTGTTTATCAGATAAATACTTGGCTTTACTAAACTGCCCTCACCACCAGTTGTTCTCTTTTGGAGCAGGAGTCCCTCAGGTACAAACCTCAAATTTGCAGTTCCTCACACGTTGCTGCAGCTGAACCAAATGACAGCATGAGCCAGGCTCTGATCTGGCTTGCTAGGATACCACTCCTCAGCACCTTCCTCCAAGCCCACGGTTATCCTGGCACTTCCACAACAGCAGGGCCATGCAGGTGAGTGCCACCCTGCCCTGCCCTGCCAGCTGTGACACAGCAGCCCACACACTGGGACAGCCCATGGCACCGCTCCCGGGGACTGCACGGCCTTGAGGTTGGTGTACACTTTCCTCATCCATCAAACAGCAAGTTTCATCACGGCTTCATGCTTCAAAAGCGGAGATTAAATAAGCAAGAATGAGCGACACACGTTATCAAGGAGATTTTAACAGCAAGGTAGTGGGGGCTAAGTTCAGAAACTCACAAGAGAGGAACACATTGGGCCTCTCACCAGAGGCAAAGGACTTGATTTAGGATGTCATGCTGTGGGACAGACATGTCAGCTGTGTATTTCAGCCCAAGCTTACACTGGTTACTCATAGTATAAATCAGCAGCGTTGGAAAGCACCTCTGAGACAGAGAGGGCAGTGCAGCCCTCCTACAGACAGCTGCAGGCACAACTACACTGGGACCCTGTCTCAAAAAAATTAAGAAAGGACACAAGCACCATTTTTCTGAAAGAAATAAAGTCTGATTGCAAATGATAATTCTGCATGGGTGAGTTTAAATGCTGAAAATAAGGGTATCCGGCTGCATTAGCCGGTCCCTGGGAATGCCTGTGCTTGGAGAGCCAAGCCCAGAGCCTGTTTGCTTCCCTGCTCTCTCGGGTTTTGAGATATGCAGACTCCAAATCCCCTCTTAGAGTGTAATTCCCAAGAAACCAATTCATCCATGAAGATGGAATAAAAATCTTAAACATTAAGCCAGGAAAAATTTCCAGTACCTAACACTGATAAATCACTCCGATGAACGCAGCACCTATGCTGGATAAAACATTTACAGACACTGAAAATCCCTCCTCTGCCCCCACCTCCTACAATTCACATCAGCCTTGTTCCTGCTTACAATCCACCACACTTCAGGCTGGCTCTGCTGGCATTGCTTCAGGTGAACAAGTCAGCAGGCAGCACAGAAAACCATGTCATTTTACCCTTTCCCAGGCTCACCAGATGCATGAATAGTCCTGTGACATACAAGCCCATGTCCCTCCTAGACTGTGTCACATCATATGCTGGGCCTTTTCATCTCAATAATTAC